AGAAATAAATGCCCATTTCCCTTTATGAATGAATTTTGGGAAAGTGTGTGGCTTTGATGTGGCTGCCAGAGGCTAGGCTTTGGGGCAGGTACACAAATGGCAACTGAAATATAGTAATACAAAATCCCATACAAGAGGTCCTTCATTCATTCAGCTAATACTTAACTGACTGCCTACTGTGTGCCACTGTGCTAGTCACTTTATGGCACTAACAATCTAAAGGGGAAATAGACTTTAATCAAATATATCATCATTCTACCTGTATAGCTGATACATGCAGGGAAGGGGAGGCATATGTTGCTATGAAGTGAATGCGGGTGGGGTGGGGGCGTCAGGGAAGGTTGAACTGAGATTCAGAGGGGGGTGACAATTCCATGAGGTGTGAGCAGTTGGTGCTATAGTTTTGAGAGTGGTCATAAATTGGAATACAGGCAGGGATATTTCCTGAGAGCTGACTGCTTGTGCAAAGGTCCTGAGACCGAAAGAAGCTTAACATTGAAGAAACTAAAGAAAGGGCAGACTGGTGGGAAGAGATAGAGAGCAGGTGTGGAGGGAGAGGCATCTGGGACATCTTCTGGAAAGACAGGCACTTGGAAAAGGCTTCCCAGGTGAGTGACATCTGCATTTTTAAGGATAAATATAACTGATGTCTTCTGGCAGAAAAGAGAGAGAGGTACTTTTTGCTAGGAAGAATATCAGTAACTTAATATGACCAGGAAGTAGTTGCTGAAATGTCACTTACATGAAGGAACTCATCATTCCATTGATGGAAATTCACAGTTCGTTGGGGTCTAGCTAACATAGAATTTACTAGATTTGCCATCTGGGGAGAACCCTTTAAATCTTCCTCACTGGCCCAACCTCACCCGAGTTGCCTGAACCAATCCCAACCCCCAGCAGAAGAGACCAAAAAGAGCTGCAGCCATTGCTCTGGGTCAGCAGTTACTGTCAGGCTGACCCAGGTCACAGTGGCCAAGTTCTTCAGGGTTCAGATAATCACATGAGCTTCACAGCAGAACATGTTCTGGACATGGTGGCCTGCCAGGATCAGGTGGAAGATGTCCTGTCCTAAAGGGAGAATGCGGAGGAAAAGCTGGAGTCATGTGTCAGGAACACGTTAAGGGAGACTCTGGCAGATGTGTGCCCAATGGAAGGGCTCCTGTGTCATTTGATTTGGCTCAGGCATGCTTTACTCCTTCCCCAATGAAGCTAGAATCTGAAGATAGATTTGGATAGAATGCTTTTATTTCCCCCTTGCTTTTAATAATTCATTTAATTAAACACAAATACACAATGCTACTTGCTGGCTGCTGCTAGGTAGAAAGTCTCTATGTTTCAAAGGTTTTCATAAATACAAAGAATATTCTTTCATCTTGAAGACTTGTCTTTCCATGTGAATACAGGCACTCAATCATTGTATGGGTCTGAAGGTGGCTTGGGAGAGAACTTTCAACAGCTTCCAAGGTTATGAGGCTCAACTCTGCCAAGACCATGACATGGGTGATTATCAGTTGAGGGCACAGACTCACATGTGAAAAACAGAACAGCTAAACCTAAAACAGCATCTGAAGGTTGATGGATATGCAGAGCGTAACCTTTGCCCAATTAAGAGCTGTCTGTTTTTCTGAACCCCACAGAGAAATGTACAAGCATGAGACATTCTTATCTACTGTGGCCACATGTGCACGACTACGCCCCTGTGAATTTTTTTTTTCAGCTCAAGCAGTGGATAAATTGGTCTTTCACTTTTAGGAAATTCAGGAAACATTATTAAGCACCCATTGCCATTTCGGTGAGCACAAGGAGTGGAATGAAAACATGGTCACACAGTCTCCCCTTGAGTTTCAGATGAATCACCGGGAGGAAATCACATGGATATAGAAATGTAGTTTATGGTAACCTCTTGACATTGTACACCATGCTACATCTCACAGTGTTGTGCATGACTTCTGGATGCTTCCACCTGTGCCAGATCACATTTCTGATAGGGTTATTCTTATTTTGCACTTTTCCATTTTACCTGGGCACACCAACTTCCCTCTTCAGAGAGGTCTCTGGCTTCTAGCAGGGGTGGCTCACTGGTCGGAGTGAGATAAGAAAGCTCTGCATTTCATGGGGCAGGGAGGAATGGAATCAGGGTAGCATCCAGAAAATTTATGGGTTTAGGGCTTTTTTTTTTTTTTTGGTACCTGGGATTGAACCCAAGGGTACTTAACCACTGAGCCACATCCCCAGCCCTTTTTTATATTTTATTTAGAGACAGGGTCCTGCTGAGTGGCTCAGGGCCTTGCTAAGTTGCTGAGGCTGGCTTTGAACTCATGATCCTCCTGCCTCAGCCACCGGAGGCTTTGGGATTACAGTTTTGTGCCACCACAGGGGATTAGGGTTTAGTTTGCCAGCATCCTTGAAGTCTCAAGCAACTTCAGGGAGTTGGGGTTGGAAGAGAGCAACAGGGTAGGCTGCTGCTTATCTAGGCATCTGAACTGGGTCTCTGAGCAATTTATTTGTTACAGCTTGAAACCATGTGCATGAACTGCAGAGATGGAGTGGGGGAGGGAGGCCTGCCTGCTGCTAGTGGTATAGACATCTTTGCCCCTAGGGACAAAGGAAGAAACCTGCCAGTCTGCTGTTCATATTTAATTCAGTCCTTTTCAGCACTAGATGTTATTAACCTCTCTATGTCTGTAGTTGCTCAAGCAATAAGCTGAATTTGATGAACTAGAGATAGAGGTTTCTTTTGGTTCTGTGGTTACAGAATTTTAGGAAGTGCATAAAAGAGAACAAGTGTCCTCAAAGACCTCTACTCTAATTACAGAGTTTCATTAAACCAATGAAATGTAAAAAACTAACCAACCAAGCAAACAAACCATAAGCACTTTTTAAATTTGTTCTTATTAGTTATACATGATAGTAGAATGTATTTTGACATATTGTACACATATGGAGTATAGCTTCTCATTCTTCTGTTGCACATGATATAGTATTACATTGGCCTTGTAAATACACACTTAGGATAGTAAAGTCTGATTCATTCTATCTTTCCTTTCCCCATATCTCCTCTCTTCCCTTTATTCCCCTTTGTCTAACCCAAAGTACTTTCATTCTTCCTTACCTTCCCCCTGCCCCTTATTGTGTGTTAGCATTGCATATCAGAGAAAAATTTCAGCCTTAGGTTTTTTGGGATTGGCTTATATTACTTAGATGATATTCTCCAGTTCCATCGATTTACTGGCAAATGCCATCATTTCATTCTTCTTTATGGCTGAGTAACATTCCATTGTGTGTGTGTGTGTGTGTGTGTGTGTGTGTGTGTGTGTATCACATTTTCTTTATCCATTCATCTGTTGAAGGGCACCTAGGTTGGTTCCATAGTTTGTCTGTTGTGAATTGAGCTGCTATAAACATTGATGAAGCAATGTTTTTTTGTTTTTTTGGTAAGTGCTATTGCAAGATGGAAAGAGAATGATGTCCCTTCCTCTGAGTGTGGGTATCAAGAAGAGTCTGTGCTGGTTGGAGGGTTGGGCTGCATGTTTCAGGGTGGCAGTGTTTAGAGGAGTAAGGACCAGAAAAGACATTAGAGTGGGCAGGTAAGGGAAGGTCAAAGGTGGGATAAACAGAAAAGACTACCCGTATCTGGTCATTACTGAATTCAGCACATGATGGCGGTTTTTTGAATATATAAATGCACCAGAATAGAGCTGCTGATATAGATATGTGTAGAATGGTCCCTCACAGTTATGTTAGGGACAGGCAGAGTGAGGATCAGGGAAAAACAGGTTCAGACAAGGTGAAACTGGAGTTTTGGTCTATTCTTTGATGTGTCCCAAATGCCTAGAGCAGGTACTCAAGAAATATTTGTTGAATGAATGGAATGAATAAGATCATGATCTCAGGCTCTCTTACAAGAAATAGGAAAGCCATCTAGGAAAGGTGCATAGCAGGCGCTAGGGTGGACTGTCAGAGAAAGCAAGGAAACAAGAAAACAGGTAAGAGATTATGAAATAGGTGCAGGGCCATGAGGAGGGTTTGAAATTAATGAGGAGAGAGAGAAGGAAAAGCAGGATGGGGGTAGCAGAGAGAAAGAGTTGGTGATTGGTTATTGTGGAATGTCAAGGAAGGTTTGAGTCAGAAGTGCCCAAAGTGTAAGGTGTTAAGGAATCCAGGGGTGTTGGAAAATGGTAATATTATTGACATAGGTGGGGAAGCAAGGTATGGTGTTTTGGTCATTTTTGGAGGGGACGGGCAGTGGGCATTAATGGTTAGTTTTAGATACTCAGTTGTGACACAAGGGTGAGTTACCTCCAGGGGGACTTGCAAATTGAAAAAGGGTTGAAATTCAGGAGTCATATCAGGGCTGTAGAGCAGGTTTTCTGAGGATTTTCCCACAGGTGGCAGCTTCCAGGAGGGTGGGGAGGCCGCCTCAGAAGCTGTCCCGGGAGAACCCTGGCCACTGTCTCTTGGTTCACAGGGCTCTTGACTTCCACTTCAATCTGTTTCTTTGAGAAACATCCCAGAGGTCTTGGAAGCTATGCTTTGTCCATCTCTGGGAACCTCTGCTCCATGGAATTCTCCTCACCCCTGCCTTCTTCCCCATATCACCTTTATTTCTTATGTAGGACTGTTTTATTTTCAGTGTTATATATCTGGCACTAATAGTCCCCATTGTAAAATTTCCAATTTGTGTCTAATAATGAGCACCCCTTGTAGGAATTGACCCCTTACTATCCTTGAAGGATATGTGTGTGCTCATAACGTGCGTGTGTAATTTTTCTTAGAAATGAATTGAGGATAACTAATTTTGTAATGTCCAATGACAGGATAATGTGTGACAATATAGATTGACTGAAACTTGGAGGATGCTGAGGTGGGAGATTAGTATTGGAGTATGGGGCACTCGCCACAGGATACCACACCTTTCACATCTTTTAAAATTGCAGTTCATGAGAAACTGTTGATTGGAAACGTTGAACACTTGCTTTAAAAAATAGCAGTATTCATGCTTGCTTTGGCAGCACACATGCTAAAATCAGAACTAGGCAGAGAAGATGAGCATGGCCCCCGTGCCAGGATGACACACCAGTTGATGAAGCCTTCCATATTTTTATTTATTCTTATGAAAACTCAAAAAATCATTTTTCCCTTTCCAGCTGAGATGGATCATTTTCAGATTCAACTTCCTGTTTTCCCCTCCTTTCTTTCTTTGTCCTAATTCTTTCGAATACCACACTGGTGATCCTATAAAATGAACTTGAGTAAACCAGAATCCTGTCATCAGTGAGAGTTTTGCCAGACTTACATTGTGTTATATTGCTTCCCTTTTAAACAAATCATGAAAAATAATTTAGTGACCTCCAAACCACAATCTTCTGAGGGGCGATTTGTGTCTGTATTTCTCTTCAAGTCAGGCATCTGCTTAAAAGATATTGACGAATATATGATGAATGCCATTTTAAAAATTGGGCAGCTCACATAAATAATTGAGCAGCATGAATTGTATTTATCTCTATAGTGTCTAGAGAATTAAAGCCATGAGTTTATAAAAGTCAAAGTTGAAGTTTACATAAGTAGAATAGTAGCTTAAAAATTGTGTTTCTAATTGGATAATGATGAAATTTTTAGTGTGTGGAAATGGGCTGAGTTGAAGGATATTATTGCTTACATTGTTAGATATTCAGAGATTCATTCCATATCTCATACTATTCAAATAAACTGCAACTTGATCAATTAATTTCATATGATGACCAGTATGATATACAAAAGAATTATGAAAAAATAAAAGGAGG